GCCGGAGGAGCTCACTGATGGGACTTTGTCCAAATCCAGCCTGGTTAAACCCAGGATGGACTGTAGGCAAGCCAGCCTTAATGTTTGTAACCAATGAAGCTGTTCCATTAGGGGGGTCCACGATTCGCAAGCATAGAGTAAGGGAGGGCATTACTTTGGCCGAAGCTTTGTGCTCGAGTGGTTGGAAGGCATTGGCCAGATCAGCTCAATAATAACGGTAGGAGGTTGCTAAACTTCTGTGGAACCCATGAGCTTTTAATTACCAACACGCTGTTCCAGCATCAGCACATCCACACATCATGGGATTGCACCATACACTTATGAACAAACATTTTTCGATAAATCCACAGCAACGTGGCAATAACAAAAATGATGACGATGGTGTAGACGACGGATATTTTCTGAGCTTCGCGCGATCGCACCCACCCTCCTCGCCAACCTCCTCCTGCACCCGCCGGACAGCGGCACGCACGCTTTCGGGGTCCGTGACGTCGAGACGCAGCGTGACGAGGCGCGATGAGCACGACCTCCTCAACTCCTCCTCGCCGGCAGGTCCCAAGCACGCCGCCACGACGCGCAGGCCGGCCGCGTCGAGCCGCCCGGCCAGCGCCCGTCCAAACCCTGAGTCGCAGCCCGTGATGAGCACCCAGCGGCCCGTCACGCCGGCCACCCGGCACTTGTCACGCCAGCGCCACGCCGCCCACAACCCCACGATGACCAGCAGCAGTAGCCCGCACGTGGGGCTGCAGAGGCAGCACGGAGGCTCCGCAGCGGTGCCGGACGACATGGTCTCGTCCGCTTGATGTTGCTGGACCAATGCTTAGCAGGCACAATGCACAGATTGACATTTCTTCTTTAGACATACTGACATGTTACTTCATGGAGGTAAAAAGTAATGGCACTTACAATTAAATCTGTGCAAAGCTGTGAGTGTGGCCTTGGTCGGTTCTCATAGGGTACTTCATTTTCCTCCCTCATAAAATTTCTTATGAGAAACTAAAATCTGAATGCAGGACCCTCATGAAAAATATTTTTTAAATCACTGAGGCTTTCCTGTGTGTACAAATTAGCATCATTATAATTTGTATGATTGAACAAAAGCTTGACGAGTGACATTAGCCAACTATTATATTTTTAACTGAACAGTCTCGGGTTCAACCTGGTAGTATATTACGCGTTCACTGTATCTAACGAGTATGGATGTTGAACTTCTTTCACACCGTACATAGGCCACCCGCGCTAATCTGAGGTGCAGGGGAAATAAACTAAGCACAAAAAGCAGTTCTAAAGAAATTCGTTTTCAATCTAGATTTAAAAGTGCATAGCTGCAGTGGCTATCTAATATTGGAAGGAAGAACGTTCCAGACGGCCGCAGAAGCGCATCTGAAAGCGCGCGATGCAGTGACCGTCTTTGTTCGATGGCCAGCCAACAGCCGCTACGAGGATGACCGGAGTGTACAAATTTAGTTTTTAAATCCTTTATATTAAGTTCCATTGCTTGCTTGCTTACGCGCTTACGACCGTGCAAATATTTCGGTCGTTTTTTAACTCACTTCCCGTGATCCAATCGAGCTGACATTTTGCACACAAACTCGTTGTGCGTGACAATTTATTTTCGTGAAAACATTTTTTTCTAAATTTTCCACTTTTTAGGATAAAAAATTTTCATATTTAATTACCAATTGCTTAATCATCTGACCCATAGGTGGCAGCCATCTCAAGCCAGAGGACGAGAGGACTCTAGCCGCCACGCATATAAAGGATTTATAGTGAAAAACTTTGTTTTTACGGGTTAATTTCTTTACGGCACAATTTAAGTTCTTCTCGACCACTTCCATAGTCCACCATCATTATTCATCACCATCATCGTCTCTGCTAGAGATTACGCATGAGTTGGCATTCCCATGTCCAAAAGAACGCCACCGCAAATCGCCCGTGCAAAACACGGAGGGGCAGCTGTGGCGAGTGCACTGCACTATGAACCCGGCGATCTGAGATAGATAGCCCACCAAGAGGACCATGAAAGTGTAATCTTAAGAGGCCAGTTGTTGTTTGGTTAAATAAAAAACCATCACCTACAAAGGTATTGTAAGGCCTTCCATTCAGCATATTTCTTTTACTAAATTATTATACGTAATTATATTCAAAAGCTCATGCAACATTGGATGTTTTTATTTAAAACGAATTCAACTTACTTTTCCAAGAAAATATAATATAGTACTGTCACAGGGCACATTACATAAGACGCTGCGGTGTTTATTCCGCATTACTTACCCGATTTTAGTGGACTGTCTTTTGAGATGTTTTATCCACAACCTCTCGTGTTCACAATTTCACAACTATTCTTGTTGGTTCTTTCGGTAAAGTCACGTAGGTATAAAATAAAATAAATCACAACGTTTCGGGCGCAATTCAAACTAACCACTGCAGTCGCCCCATACACTTATGTGGAAAAATAATTTTTAAAATACCGCTTGAAAGATTCTAAACCAGCAAATGTATCCCAGCAGCCACGTACAGCCCTGTTCTGCACGTGGCGTCACGAAAGCACAAAAGCTGAGGTTTGGTTCAGCGGTTCCAGCCACCGACCAATTTTTCCGCCTACTGATCAAAGTACAAACTTGCAGGAACGCCCCCAGTCACAATGTCACAAACACTCTCCCACACAAATACGCACACTACACAGACTTAACTTGCACAGAGATAATAACCAAAGCATGGCAAGGTGCCATCCCACCCATGTGCTTGGATGCCCACGAGGCTCATGTGACTTGGGAATGCCACCGCCTGTTGGCACTGTGCTCACAGCGAGCTGACCCGCTACGAACATCAGTTGAGTAATAGCGTGGTTTGCATCGGGAATGGTGCCATGCCCTTTTTTGTCCCCCCCCCCCCCCCCCCTAGTCAAATCTCCAAACCTCTTTTTAAATCCTTTATATTAAGTTCACTTGCGTGCTTGCTTGCGCGCTTACGACCGTGCAAATCTTTCGGTCGTTTTTTAACCCACTTCCCGTGATCCAATCGAGCTGACATTTTGCACACAGACTCGTTGTGCGTGACAATTTATTTTCGTGAAACATTTTTTCCAAAATTTTCCACTTTTTAGGAAAAAAAAAATTTCACTAACACAATCATATATTTTTGCTAAACACAGAAAATTATTCTGGATGTGTGTCAACACACTATAAAAATGAAACTCTTACTCAAGAAAAACAGAAATGAATAAAAAAATAAAACCGATGCCACGCATATAAAGGATTTATAGTGAAAAACTTTGTTTTTACGGGTTAATTTTTTAGCTCGGCGGCATGGGCCCCTCGGGCATGTGGGCAGTTGCACCCCTCCACCACGCTCGATAGCTATACGCCACTGGTGTTCCAACCCACGTGCTGTAGCGTACATGACTTCGGACCTCGCCTGAACTCAGCTGATCAGCCGACACCGTGTGCGTATGTACAGTTGATCATCGATTAATTATCGGGCTGCTTCCAACAATATCCTGTGGCCCCGGGCCGATCCGGCGAAACCACCACGTGCGTGCCAAAAAAAGTTGCTGTGCTTGATTTCATTGTCAAAAATTAAGTACGGTACATCGTACATAGCATAACGACAACTGAAACAATGAAAATACTGCTCGTAAATACATTTTCCATGGCTAATAACTACAGGAATAAAAATAGAAAATGTGCACAGTGCGACCTGGCGAAAAGTGCGTTGTGTAATTTGGCATTCGCACGAGCACCGGTCTAAGGGCTGCATCAGTCCGGCGATCATCAAACACAAGTTGTGGAAACAAGAGCGTAGAGTGGTAAGTACGGTACAGTAAACGAGGGTGAATTTGTGTACGTTTATTTATTCAAATTTCTCATCAAAAATGTAAAACACAAAAATAAACCATGTACATGTCTTGCATGAATGTGCAAAAATTAGCCGGGTGAAGGACAACAAACTGAAGCACACAGACCAATTCCATCAGGATACCGTGCTTGGCTCTGCTGTGTGTAAAGTAAACGTGTGGGAGACGTCTTTGTGCGTTCACGATGCTCTCCACGACGATGGGAATGGCAACAGGCCACTGCGTTGCCGGTATTGTTCCAAATTTGCCAAATTTGAAATATTACGCCACGAATTACTCCATTGGGATTAAACATCGCGACAAACCATTGCTACCCCGACTGCAAAAACGTGGCAGGACCCTCCTGAAAACGAATTTCTTTAGAACTCTGATTCGCACGGTTGGCAACGTACGGTCAGAAACAAGCTCAACACGCAGTACATAAAGTCACGAGACTCGGTGAGACATCCGCGAGTTAACAAACATATCTCTGAACTATTAACAACAAAAACACGAAGTTACACAACTCTCTATTGGCGGCTGCGTGATTAAAACTGACAACCCCATTCAATAAAAGTGTACGACAGAATTAACCCGTTTGTACATCACAAATTACAATCTTCTTGGTTCTTTCGGTAAAGTCACGTAGAAGGGAAATACAGTAATAAAATAATAAAAATAAAACAATCAAATAAATTATTATTTTATTATTTCCCTTCTACGTGACTTTACCGAAAGGACCAAGAAGATGAATCCCTACAGTCGAAACATTACAATTTCGATTTAAAGCTTTCGTGACTGCAGGGATTAATCTTCTTGGTTCTTTCGGTAAAGTCACGTAAAATGGAAATAAGAAGTAAGAAGGGGGCGGGGCGTAAGGAGGCGTGGTGTAAGGAAGGGGGAGGGGCGTAAGAAAGGGGGCGGGGCGTAAGGAAGGGGGAGGGGCGTAAGAAAGGGGGCGGGGCGTAAGGAAGGCTTGGGGAGCATGGAGGGGTTGCTAGCCCCGCCCATCTCCCGGATGTCCCGCCCCGTTAGGTGGAAGTGACGTCACGGAGCGGGAGGCTGGACAGTGAATTTACAAATGGAGCTCAAGTCGGACGTTTTGCGATGGTGCAGTTCGCGAATTGAGTTTGAGACTTTAATTTTCGACAGCCGTAACGAGTTTACTTTGTAACTACGTGGTGGGGAGGGAGGGAGGGGGGTGGAGTCTTAGCGGAGCGACCGGATTCAGTGGTTAAAGCGAGGCGCGAGTGGTTGCGGTGTAATGCATCAGATGGTCCCAAGTTGCATCTTCCTATTTTCCGCGCTTCGTGATGACTGCATTGTACCAACGTGTGCGTGAATATGAAGCGTTGACTGGCGCCAATTTAATGAAATGAAACAGCTTTGCCTCACAGTGCACTCAGCTCGTTGCATAATCGCAATTGCGGTTAATGCAAATCATCTGTTCGTACACTACAGTTTACAGTATTGCGTTCGCTAAACGCAGATCATTGTACAATAATTTAGACTTGGCAACCCGTTTTAAAAGTCGGCATGTAATGAAAGTTACTTGTGCAAAACACGCATCCAGTCGTACGCGTAATAGTCGAATAAACTATACTGAATATCGCAGTACGTAGGGAAAAAATCATGCATATACTCTTTGGTTCTTTCGGTAAAGTCACGTAGTGACGAAAGCTTCAAATCAAGATATTATGCATATGTTAGACGACTGATGGAAGAGACAAGATCAACATGAGACGAGACGAGCGAGAGACATTTACCAGGCGAACCGTGGCCCTGGATCGTGACAACTCATCAAATCTCAGGAGGTGGTGAGAATAGGAGACAAATCTCTGCCCCCTAACAGCCTCTTTTGTCATTTCACTGCTGGATGAGGGCCTCCCACACGCTGTGTGGGTCCTGATGGACATTTGATCATACTTCACCGTGGTCAGTGCGTGTTAGGCGAAGGCTTTGGAACATAGATATTCAGTACAACAACTTGATATTGCTACCACGATTCTCTCGCTGCCCAACACGTGGCCTCTAAGTCACATTCACTTTAAGATGTTTTTTGTTCATGTTTTTGTTTGTTGCGGTTGCAACCGATTCAAGAGCCCAATGGCTCACAGGGCTACACCTAATAAATGAACTTGAACTCTACATGGCAAAGTGTAATGATTACCTGATTGTAGCATTTCATCGCGGGTTTGCTCAAATGTATTGCAGTTACATGAGCCATCGAATTAATATAGCGCAACACAATTGGACGAGTCATCTATTCACCACGGTGTATAATTCGATAAAGTGCTATGAAGGACCATTTCCAAAAACGTCACCAGTTTTACATGTATCCTTATATTTTGTTTTTATGTGGACATGCGCACCGCTGCCAACGCAGTATCGCCATGAAAGTGCTTATTTATTTGCATTTGTCTCCGTCCTCAGATGGAATTGCTTCCGTTGAAGTTGAGCGAGCTGGCGGGAGCTGCCGCGGCCCGACTTGACGTGCGTGCCCTGGAGGATGAACTTCCAGGTATCAGCACGAGATCACGTTACTTGGGCTTTTTTACATGAAGCTACGACGTGTGTGCGAGAGTCAAACGTCGGCGTATAATGGCCCTCCACAGCTGAGCGATCAGATGAGCAACTTGAATCAAAGTATTTAGTCATGTTGCTGTTGTTTTGGCAGTGGCACAAAAGCACAAATAAACACTCGCATTCGTCAATAAAACATCCACTGCACATAGGCAACCTCTATGAGCCCTCTACATGCTTTGAAGGAAGGGCCATTGCCAGAAACGTCGTAAGGTAGTCTTATTGACGGATGTGTTAAGTATTTTTAGTGTGCAACTGGTTACTTACTGTGGAAGACTCCTTTCAAGCAATCTGCTCAGCACTCAGGTGTGAACCCGGGCATTATTAGGTAGCGGTGGGGAGTCTGGGTCTTGTTGGCTGTTTTCACCGGTGATTAGATTCAGGATGGCAACTGTAGGCCACATGAAGTCTACCAGTTTGAAACGGCGCTCTGTCGTAATTTTAGTCGCTGCAAGCATCTTAGCCGCACTAATCGAGTACCCGAGACGAATATTTTCCATTCAGTATGTTGAGGCAAGGCTGTCAATGCAAGGGCCTCTTGAATTAGTAATTCACATGGTCCCTGCAGCTACTGAAATGTATGCAATGCTCTGAATTGTAAAAAAAATTGAATACAGTATTCCTGAATGCAATTGTGATCCCAAATTGTGAAAATGCATCACATTAGATGGGGGGGTGATTCCACCCGAACCTATTTCACCTGCCACGTTTCCGATTTAAAACATTGACCAACGCAGTTACATTTTTCTCATTGTGTTCAATCATGCCAACAATCGCCTCATCATTATAATGGAGGTGATAGATCAGGGTACTTGACAGGTACTTGTCGAGAAGTTAGAAAGCTGAAATTTGGTCGATGGGTCGCTTTTAGGACAAACAACAGGAGCAATCTGAAAATCCGAGATTTTTCATTTTAAGGCCACCAAATCTCAATTTTAAGTGCCCCATAAAAATGTGTGTGCGTGTCATTCAGAAACCGTTAAAAATATAAGATTGTAGTTTGATAGAGCATTAAACGACAAACAAAATGAAAGCGAGAACTATTGTCCTATATTTTATTGTTTGAAATGTTTCGGATTAAAGTGTTTTTCAACGAAAAAATACACATTTTATGATGTTGAAATCTGAATAATTTGTAAACGATAGCCTCCCCTCAGAGTAGTTTATAATTTTTTGTGCTTACTCATAAAAAAGGGAATCTTTAAATTGAGCAGTTTCTGATGGATATGTCTTTAAATATAATAAAGTTGAATAAAGTTGTCAACAATTTCAGTTTTTTTTGGTTGAAAAAACACATTTTTGGAAGAGTTTTGTTAGTGTCTGAGCGTAGATGAGGGTCAAAATCATATCAGCTTAATTATTATACTTATTGAAAACGTTTGCCTGCCGAAGACAGGCTTTATGAACTAGTCTATATTTAAAACTACTGTACATAATTCCTTCCACACTGTTCTAAAAAGAAACTGCATTTTTTGCCACAGCGCTGCCGGTCACAGCACTGCATGACCTTTTGCCGCACCTCAACCTCTTTTACCTGGACCGCCTCCAGGGAGCGTTGCAGAAACAAGGTGAATTCCTCCTTCCTCAAAACGCTGGCGAACAAACCCATGGCGCATTGGAAATCTCAAAGTTAAATTGTTGGGATCAAAGAACCACAACATCCGTGGAGTAACTCGGAAGATAGATGTTTGATTGGGAAACGTTTGTTGTGTATGGGATTGTATTGATACATCAATTGATTTAAATTAATTTCAGGCTACATGCTTCAAATAATGCTTAAGAACCAATTCCTTTCGATTATTGTATACTGGGCATAATTGAAATCATTTCTGTATTCCCGAATCGAAACGCAACGATACATTGTGTGAGCCACCTGCATAAACAGTATATTAACATGCATTAACCACATTCCTTGCCAACAGCACATGGTGACATCTTGCTAAGACCAGGGCTAAATTTATAGCATTTTGCATAGGCATAAAATAACTTGCTTTAGGTGTGGCTTTAGGCGTCATCTGTTGTGATGAATCGTTTGGCAAAGTTCCATTATCAGAGAATATAAATGGTGCAGAGGTATTGTTTCATAATTTTAAACAAATTCCTGACTGCTTTACCACATGTGCTGCTGCTTACAGACATCCTGTGCAAGTGTAAGCTTAATATTTGAATTTGCCTGTGACTAAACCACATGATGTGATGAGGTTTGAAATAGCATTGAAAACTCAACGTAACATCTTTCAAGGAACCTGCCAAACCGAGAGGTAGCTGTCAGTAAAAATGTCAAATCGGGCAAATAAACCAAGTGTCAACAGCATTTCTTTTGAACTTAATATGTTTTTTAAAGATCAGTGCAATTATAAAATGTCTGGGGTTTTTATTTGGGACACCAAGCAAAGTTTGTGAACGTGAAGTTACTGCTGCGCCCCAGGAGTGTCCTTGGAGCCCAAGTGGAAGCAGTTGTGTCAGGAGTTGGTTGGGAAGCAGGTTGGATGCAGGGGCTCAGTGGCGACACAACACAATCACCCACACGACGTAAGTGCTCACACAGCGCATGACACACGCACGACACACGCACACATACGTGACATTTGCTGTTTTTTTTAAGATTGGGTAAGATGTAGTTCTAGAGATTTTGAAGCGTCAATTCGTTTTCGCGAAATTGCATTTTCACTATGTGCAGCCCTTTTGTCAGTCCACTGCTGGACGAGGGTCTCCCCACACACCGTGCTGCAGGTCACGGGGGTTATTTGACCATACTTCACCATGCTGGTCAGTGCGGGATGATTATGAAGCAGACAGGAGACCATAGCAGTACAAAATTGCATTTTGCTATACTACCATCTGCTGCCCACCACATAGCCCAGCAGGTCCTACGACAACCTTTTTTTGCATTGTGGTCACCCATCCGAGCAATATCCAGGTTCAACCCCCTGCTTCACTTACAAGATCTGACAAGTTTGGGCACATTCCAGGTGGATTGGTCACAGGCGCCAATGCAAGTTTAAATCGTTTAACATCTAAATGCAGCTGCATGTCAAGGCCATATACACAGCAGGGACGTGAGCATCACAATGAAACCACCAAAAAGGCATTCTTATTTCCCCCACGGTTCCCTCCCCCCAACACCCCATATAGTTTTGTAACCTTTTGTTAAAGCATCTTGAGATGTTGCATACATTTAAATGGCAGTGATCGACTCAGAAATTGGATTGGGAGCCCATTAGGGGGAATTGAGTATTGTTTTATTCACACGTGGACGCATTCGGCCACTGTCACACAACTTGCAGGAGGGGGAGACCACGTGGCATGAGCGGTTCATGGGCCTGCTCTTCCGCGTCGCGTTGGGCGGCCTGGAGAGTGCCGTGTCCAGGAAGCACCTGGTGCTGCCCTTCACCTCCGACCCTCGCTTCTGCGCGCTGGAGATGTGCGCACCGCACGTGCGCCGCCTCGCCGTAGCCCACCCGCTCGACGCATTCTGCTCGCTGCTGCAGCCGTCGCGAGGGCCCGTCCTTTCCACGCTGGCGCGTACCCTCACTTCGCTCACCTTCAAGCACTTGGGCTTCGATTGTTGCCCGACGCGCGAGCGGCTGGGCGCCGTCGTGCAGTCGCTCTCCAGTCTGCGCGAGGTCTCTTTCGAGCGGTGCCTCACACTGCGGGCAGAGCTGCTCGACTGCGTGCTCGGCGCGTGCGTGGCTTCGGAGCGTGCGGGCAAGCGTGACGAGGCCGAGGCGGTGGAGGAGGCGGGCACTGCCAAGAGGGTACGCTGTGACGCAAGCGCCCCCACGCTCGCGCACTCCGATGCCACAGCAGGTGACGTTGACGATGAAACGGAGCTCCTCTATTCAGATTTATCGCCCGAGGAGCATTGCTGGGACGATAACGACAGCTCGGAGGATCTTTTTGATTTGTCGCTCACCGAGGGGCCAAGGCTGTGTTGTTGCCGTAAAACTCTCATGCCGGTGTCCGTAGCCACCGTGCTCGAATGCCTGGGCATAGAGGCCGTCGACCCTGAGGGCAGTTGCGACTTCTATGCTGGTGGAAGAGGGCCCGGCTGGGATTCGCCCTTCTACTCGCCTGCCAGGACAACGGTCCCCACCGGCCCGTATCGCGCTCCATGCCCCCCGCTGACGGTGACGGTGCTGCGACTCGTTGGCATGCCGCTGTCGGTGCAATGCGTGGCCTACCTGGAGGATGCGCTCTCGCACTGGATCTGTCTCGAGAAGCTCGTGCTCATCGACACCGGTAAGAATGCCGTCATGTGCTCGGGGCAAAGAAGGGCACTCGCCAGACTATCTCCCCCGCTCGCCAACAAAAACCTGGCGCACCGCTAACTTGCGCTCTCATTCACTTCTTCCACTGCGTTTTGGAATAGGAGTGATTCATCTCCTCCAGGTGTCGATATTGAAGTAATTCTTGGTTTTGTTTTTAAATCTCATTTGTTTTTTTTACATCTCATTTGCAGTTTTGTTCGTTCCATCAAGTGCACATGTATTATATCATCTGCAAATTATTTGCATGCATTGTAACACATTCTCATGCGCAGAATAAAATGCATGTACCTCAAGCATAAGAATCGATTTAAATATTTAGGAATAATTGCACGAAAAAGGTTTGCAATGTGTGTTCAATATGGATTTCGCTAACTCCCGTTATGACGCATGTGAACACAACTTACAGATACCGATCCTTTGGCGTAAGCATTGTACATGTACTCACTTTCCCAGCTCATTGTTTTGCCAATTGCACCGTCCCGTGCTCATGTGCAGAGCTGGAGAACCGCTTGCTGTGCGTGCTGCACGCGCTGCGCCGCCTATCGCGTCTGCCGGCGACGCGGTTCTCTCACCTAGACCTGCGCGACGACGCCCTCGCCGTTCCCATGCTCACCGTGGCGGGCTGCGTGCTCAGCTACTTCCCGCGGCTGCGCTCTCTGCTGCTGGCGACGGTGCTGCCCGTCGTCAGCCCCGGCGTGCCCCTGCAGGGCTGCCGCCTGCGTGGGGCCCTGCCGCCCTGCCAGCTGAGGGAGCTCTCGCTATGCAGCTGCAGCAGAGAGGTGAACCTAGGGCGGCTGCTGGAGCTACTGGAGGCCACACGTGGCTTGCTGCGATGCGTGAGCCTGCGCGGCAGGACGCTGGCGCACCGCGACGACCTCGCCACGGTGCTGCGCTCGCTGGCGGCGCCCGGGAACCGCCTCGACTCCCTGCGGCTGGAGGACATGGGCACGAGGCTGGACCTGGACACGCTGGCGGAGGCCGTGAGGGCCACTCGCATTAGCGAGCTGGCGCTGAGACACTGCCCGCCATCTTTCGAGGCTAACGCACCGCGGTGGGACGGCTTGGCGCTCGCCCTCCGGCAGAACGCCAACCTGCGCCGGCTGGTGCTGGCGAGGAACCGGCTGGGACGGGAGGGGCTGCGTGTCCTCGCCTCCCTCTTCAGCGAGGGGGCGGCTTGCCGCGTCGCACACCTCGACGTCAGCTTCAACTGCCTGCCACCCGACGCGCTCCTGGAGTTTGCGCTGGCGCTGGGGGGCGAGGGGTCTGCGTCGCGCCGCCTGGAGGTGCTGGACATCACCGGAAACCGGCTGCTGCGCGAGCCGGCGGTGGCGCAGCGTGCATTAGTGATGCTGCGCAGTCGCGTGGATCACGTGTTGCACGATGACTGGGACGCGACTCACGCCTTTGCCGACCACGTGAGCGTTATGTGAGCGATCGCGTGTCCCAGAGAGAGAGTTGGGAGGAGGTGATCAGCAAGTCAACCCGGTTAGGGGCCATCCATTTAGTAGGTACGCATGGAGAGGGGGGGTTAACCCAAATGCGTACGCTTGCGTATGGGGGGTCTACTGACAATGTACGTACGCATAGGAAACGGGGGGGGGGTTGGGGGGGGGAAGCATTGATAATAATGTCTACATTGGCCTTCAAATGAGCCACAGTTCAGTTTCTTCAGCTGTCAGACAAGTACTACCGGGAGAAGTGGGACTGTGGGAAAGGTGTCACTTGTATGCCACCGTACCCCTGACTGCAAGCCATCACGCAGCTCAGCAAAATAAGTGGCCAAGGTACGCAACTTAATTCTTTAATGCAGCCGGTGGTGGACTATCTGTTTACTTAGACACGTTAATATTTTTAATCCTTGATCGTTTCTGCGTGGATTAAATATCGGCCGTTCTATAGGATTCGGGGGGGGGGAAATGCGTCAAGCATACATACGCAGGTGGGGGGGGTGGGTGTAAAAAGTACACGTGCGTACAGGGAGGGGGGGGGGGGGTCAAGTTTTGACAGATTTTTGCGTACGTACTAAATGAATAGCCCCTTAGCCGCTCAGAGAATGCTTTGTAAACAGTCCATTAGGATCCAGGGGTAGTTGATAGTAGCAGATCGAGCAGTCGACAAACTCTGCTTCTGTTTTCCAGTCTCGCGGTGGCGCTCGCAGGTAGATTCATTGAGTAACTGGGAGTTGAGACGGCGTTGGCTTCACCAGCGTTGTGCCCACCCAACGGGCACTCCTCTAGTCCACGCAGCTTCTCAGGAGAACTGGTCTCGTGGGAGGGAGCCCAGCGCCTGTGCATTGTCACATATTGCTTGCGCATTGCAGTTTGGATTTTTCTATCCACACTTATCGTAAGAGACTGGAAGACCCCCTCCTCCAACTGAAGCAATTACCCAACCTTGCTTGGGCCTAGATTCGATTACTTTCAGTATCACCTCTGGTGGCACAACTGGTGTCACAATATTTAAAACACAAATCTGAAATTTTACAATCAGTAGGTTGCCACGTAAGTATGTTATTTTTCCATTTCGAGAAAGCAAGACCAAATTTTTGCGAGCTTAGGTGGTACTGATATTTGCTCTGACCCATGGACTAAAATTAGTATTGCACTCAAAACGATGTACAAAACACACACACATTTCATAAAGATTACGTGTATACAACTATAGTTTTGTTGAATTTATTTTGTCAAAACATTTTTTTACAATGTTTACAGTAATTGAGTGTCTACTGATTTTTCCTTTTATAAGCTAGTCTTTGACTTTTATTTTTAAACGCACAATTTACGTCCTCGAAATAACGGGAGTTGGATCATACCCGTGTTCCCCTTCATAACAGGGTTTTTTGGAAGCCCATACAAAATTTCACAAATGTTGGGAATCAAATCGAAGCTCATGCTTGCAAATTCCCAGAGATTGAATGTCGTGCATACCGACGCCGACTTGGTTGTTATCCTTGCCTCGACGCTGCACGGGAACGCCACGTACCAGGGGGTGCACCGCAGCTCCGAACATAGCTTTAATGTCTATTTAATTACTTGATACCCTGATTAGTACGTGTTGTTAGTGTTTTAATGTGAACGCCAATTGTTGAGCACTAAAACGCAAAATTACAAGCTATAATTTGTCCTATCTTTACAATCTGTCATTCATTTCTCCTGGACAAAAACGGGGTTTTGATGAGAAAGTGCATATACGGGGCTGTGGGAAAACAATCGCCAACCCACCCACAAATTGGCCCATTATTTCAAGGACGCGATTTACTCAATTCCTATTTACCTGTTACTTCTACGTGTGACACTACGCACTGGGCAGGGCTCCCCAATTGCCAAGGCGTCGGCGGGTGGGTAGCGGACCGCAACCGCTCCAGCGATTTCACAGATCCGGGCTGGCGTGGCGCGACAGGTCACGGATGGCTCGCTTCATGTTGGGAGCGACTGCGGAGAGACGGAATATTATCATCGCACATTCACACTGCAACCCCGTGGCTCAAACAGTTCATAACCTCCCAAGAACAATGCCTTGTTTTTTCTGAAGGTGCCATTGCCCACAAAACCATATTGATTCTTCTTCTTGGTTCTTTCGGTAAAGTCACGTAGAAAGAACAAAGAAGATGAATCCCTGAAGTCACGAAAGCTTTAAATCGAAACATTGATTCTATTTCAAGACCACGGTGCTGTTGACGAACATGTCGAGTCTCTGGTGTGCAATGGGGGTCACTCACTCTCCTCGTCTGGGAAGAGGTAGTAATACTTGTACTTGGCAGTGCCGTGGACGTTGTAAATCTCGGGGTGCACGATGCCCATGTAGTCTTGGGCAGGGGGGGTGGAGACGAGAGGACAAAACGAGGCATCAAAAATTAACCCGTAAAAACAAAGTTTTTCACTATAAATCCTTTATATGCGTGGCGGCTAGAGTCCTCTCGTCCTCTGGCTTGAGATGGATGCCACCTATGGGTCAGATGATTGTCTGCAGTATTAAACAATTGGTAATTAAATATTTAATTTGTTTTCCCTAAACAGTGTAAAATGTAGGAATTTTTTTTTCACGAACATTAATTGTCTCGCACAACGAGTCTGTGTGCAAAATGTCAGCTCGATTGGATCACGGGAAGTGGGTTAAAAAACGACCGAAAGATTTGCACGGTCGTAAGCAAGCAAGCAAGCACGCAAGCACGCAAGCAAGCGAACTTAATATAAAGGATTTAAAAAGGGAGCGGAATTCTGCCCAACGGGGGTACTGCAGGTGCCAGGGCAGTCCACCTGGGGGCGCGCGTGGCCAAGCAAAGGCTTTTGAAAAGACGGTTGCGGGACAATGCACAATGCGTCGGCAAGAAAGGGTACGTTTCCCGACCGTGTTTACGGGCCTGTACCGCGTGTCGTTTGGCACGATGTCCGACCTTTCGGCCCCACTTGCTGGGAGCTTCTTGAGCAAACATTGGCCATCGTGCGGAACAATTTGCAGTGCAACTCAAACATCCAAGAGCTGAATCGGCGAAACCGTAAAAACCTACATCGCAATGAAGGGTCTGTCTCACCATATGCATATAAAGTAACGTACTGTTCAATCAGCCTTTGACCCGACTGCATCAGCATTTTCCAGCGGCAGCAGTTTAAAGCTGCGAACGTCTGAACCCGGGTCTAACTTCGGAAGGCAAAACTGGGTCTAGAACAGTGGTTCTTAACCTGGGGTGCGAGATGCCCTTTCTGGAGGGTGCGAGGCATGGACAGATTTTTTGAGAAGGTAAATCATCAAAGACACAAATTAAGCATGGGCACTAAGTACAACTACTTTGTGTCATCAAACCATATGTATTTATTAACATACATTATTTTTACGATTGAGAACCAATAAGAGGTGCAAGGCTGCAGTCAAGGTTAAGAACCACTGCTCTAGACTATGCAAGGCTTACATTTGATTGGGGTTATGGAGCACGTTGCCATCGTGAATAAGAGGAACGGAGGTGGAAGAGCACTTGTATTATTTTAAGCCAAAAAGTCCCCATTGCTACATGAGGTTGGCTGCTCCGATTGTATTCGTTTACTTTCACCGTCTATTTTACTGTCACATCCACCATCCATAGACTTTTATACAGACCCTTAGAATTGCATAGAGAGACCCATCGACTCACATGCCGTTTACATGATCTACAGACTTGCACAAAGAGCCATGAGGTGCACAGACTCGCATGATCCACATTGCGTTTTAGTCTGTGCCTCTTTTCTCGGGCACATCTTCATTCGTCATATCTCATTCCCCCCCACATCCTTCTCACCCCTCGGTCACCCTGTACTCCTCCTGCCGGCTAACAGGCTGGAGTAGACATCTCCATAGCCCTTGTCATTACATGCCCATTGTAAGAGAGCAGTTGTGTGTGCCGAGTAAATCACATCTCCGGCCGTCTCACCGAGAAAGAGGATGCGGGGAACGTATCTTCCATCCGGAGCAAATGTATCGTCCAGGGGTTCATCCTTGGTTGGGAGAGGGAGGTGGAGGTGGAATTGGGCGACATGGAGGTTAGCGAGTCTTGAGACTCTGCGAGGCTTTACTGGCTAAATACATTATATTTCCCATGCCGTCTTGTATTTTGGACCAAGATTAAACAAAGATTAAACAAAACCGGGTCTACTTGGCCATTCCTCTTCACGCCTTCTCGCTGCCTCCCTCCTCCAGCTCAGCCGCTCGCCACTTACATACGGACTCGCCCTTGTCTCTCGAGTTCCCATCTGGAAACTAAAAAAACTATAACCTACTAAACTAAACTAAAAAATTATTTGACCAGGCAAGGCTCACTGAGCTTTATAGCTCTTTTCTAGAAGCGTCCTGGCCACAAATGATAGCTCAACAAGCGGCTTATCATGTGGAAATGTATATCAGCCAAATAATCTAAACGCGTGTTTCTAAATGTGGAGTAAATACCCGGAGAACCCAGCGAAAAATCCACGCGATCACGAGGAGAACACGCAAACTCCACATATACAGGTGTCAGGGTGGGCGATCGAACCCACGACCTCCTGTATACCAGGCGAGGCAGTTAACATCTCGCCATCTTGGCACCATGTATGCAAAGTGGACGAGACCACACCATCAATCTGGACAGAGTGGCACCCTGGGGTAAGTGACCAAGGGGAAGACCTCAAAAGTCAGATGATGCTGATGGGGGTGGTGATTGAGACTGTAATAACGGCCCTGAAATGGCTGTGTAACAAGGGGAATATCTAAAGTCAGATTGTTGGTGGTGATTAAATATTTTTTGTAACAACTGGGATCTGGTGGGAAGAAGAAAGCGTGGGCCGTTTGGCAGAGTGGAGGACACTCACGAAGAGGTTGACGAAAACCATGTGGTGGCTGAGCCTCAAGATCTCCCTGGAGTGAGCGAAGCGGGGTCTGAGGACTGCACGCACAGACACGACGGGAACATCGTGTGCACACTGGACATCTGTGGAGAAAGCTTCATAGCTCATCGGATTCCTCCGGTATAAAATAAATATTCTGATTCTGACACACGAGCACCGATGGTTACCAACCATTTATAGGACTTTGCGGGTAAGTCAACAGTGGTTGTCCTATGGATAGACTCGCCCCTGCCAAACGGAATGTGTAATTTCTATCACTGGCTCGGGGCTGACTTAGAAATAATCTCTTGCGAGTGTGTGAGCAGTGTGTGTGACCCCATCATAACGTTGCAGACGTTAAATTTCGATTTAAAGCTTTCGTGACTGCCCGGATTCATCTTCTTGGTTCTTTCGGTAAAGTCACGTAGAATGGAAATAATAAAATAATAAAAATAAAACATAATAAAATTCTTCTCACGACGTTTCGGCCACAACGCAAGCAGCCGTCCTCAGGTGACCGAAACGTCGTGAGAATTATTTTATTATGTTTTATTTTTATTATTTTATTATTT